CTTTTTGTTAATTGCATAAGGTTGTTTAAGGTAGGGAACAACCAGTGAACAAATTTTGGACTCACCTTTGGATCGGTGATCAACCGCTTAGGCAAGTCTTCCCTCCTTGTTTCTCCTGGCCAACAATTAGATAGTTGTGGTCGCTAAATATGTAGAGTTTAGAGGGTCGGCCTTGGTTTGGACCCCCATCTTTAGGAGAAACCTCACTGACCTGGAATCCACTTCCTTGAATTCACTTCTTCAATTGTTTGCTTCCATCTTCAGCCCTTTACTTCATCAAGGCTCCATCATCTGGTCCCCTAACTCTTGTGGTTCTTTCTCAGTCTCCTCTTTCTATTCCTCCTTACTCTCTAATTTGAATACTACTCCTCTTCTCAATAAAATTTGGTCCCTGCCAATTCCACATAAAATCCAAGCATTTATCTGGGTGCTCCTACAAGGAAAAACCCTCACCTTGGACTAGCTTCAACGAAGGGGGCTCTCCTTTCCCAACCGCTGTATCCTATGTCTTCAAGATGAGGAGACCATCTCCCATCTCTTTATCCACTGTGAGGTCTCCTCATGTCTCTGGTCCTCAATCCTCAAACTCTGCAGCCTTCAATGGGTCATAGTTATCGGAAGCGCCACCCTAGGGTGGCGCTCCCGTTCTGAAATCTCACACCGGCGTTCCGGAGCTGGGATCTCGCTCGGAAGCCGTTCCCATCTTTTTGGGATCTCACTCCAATTTTTAGGATTCTCAATCCTATTCACAAGGGAGCTCGCTCCCGATACTTTAGGGATCTCGCTCCCGATACTTCAAGGATCTCGCTCCCATTCACAACGGATCTCTCTCCCGCTAAAGCACAGATCTCGATCCCATACACAATGGATTTCGCTCCCTCTACTTCACAAATCTCACTCGCATTGTCTCACGGAACGCATTCCGTAACATTATAGATGTGGTTCCTGAACAAATTAGTTCCTCGGTCCTAGAATTTTAAGATTGTAATCCCGACGTTCTCAAAACTAGATCCTAATCTAATAAGGTTGTGACCTCGATCCTATAATCTATGGAGCTCGCTCACGAGGAAAGTGGATCCCGATCCCGAAAGTATAAGGTTCTCGATTTATGAAATCCCGGATTGCGACTCTTAGGAACTCGGACGTTAACTCCATGTCTATTTATTTGTTCATTGTAGTCGGTGATTCATACCTACAATGGGCATTTAATTTTGCCTATGGTAATTCTAAAAAACAAAAGCTTAATTTTGTATAGGGTGTGGTTTTTATAAGGTTACAAATTACAACCTTAAACAATCCAAATAAGGTGCACCTCTAAATTTTATCATAATATGGAATATTGGTGTAATTTTTTTTTAAGATTATCTAAAATCTATTTCCATTTTCAATTATAAAATTTTAAACTTCAAAAATGGTTAAAATCAAGTAGATCCCTAAGCCTATGTAAATCTTGAATTTCTGGCACTCAAATTTTTTTATTTTTTTCATACACTCATACATCTTGATGTCGAGATGATCAATTAGAGACTTTTTCAACATTAAAACAACCTTTTCCGATGGATTTTTAGGGTGCATCCTTAGTTCTACATTTTATGGTTGGAACCTTATATAAACCTTTTCCTATATCTTTGATTTTATAAAATACTATGTAATTCTCAAATGAGTTCCCAAATTTGGATTCAAATATATATATATATATATATATATATATATATATATAGAACATATACGAACCAACTACGTACCGACGTAGTTGTTAGTTTAGTACGTCCGTACTACTAACGTACTACGTACGTAGTCGTACCGTAGTAGTT